AAAAGCTACACTAAAACTTTCAAGTTTACTGTAGGACACGTGTTGAGTTGCAAACTCGATTTATTTTTTTATTTTTAAATATTAGGAAAAGAAACAAGCCTTTTAGAACATCAAGTCAATCTTTAAATTTTTAAGATTAACCTTTTAGCCTCTTAAAAGATAGTAAGTCTTGCAGACTTCTGTGCAGAGGTGCAGGACTTTGGTGGCATTTCTCAGTTCGTCCCCAATGACTTTTTGATTAACTACAATGCAGACTTAGTGGAACGTGCTGAAAAGGAGAACAGTAATGAGAAACTCTAGTCTGAAAAGATATGCATCTTCTGTATAAGGCAGTGGGACAACAGTTCAGGTGACTTCGTACTTTACTGTCTTGTTTATCTTTTTCCTGGTTCTTGTATTGCTTAAGTTAATTGCTGTTGTGTTTAGATTTAATGAATGTACTTTGGCTCAGTTTATATGAAGTACAGTCCTTGTTTTCCTGCGAGCATTGAGAATTGTGATAACAGGACTAATACTTGTCTAAAGGTCAACAAAGTATATTTTGGAACATATTGGTGTGTATACTCCATTCCTTATATGTTTGTGGATCTTGGTGCTCAGAAAGAGTTCAAATTCATCTCAAACATCATACAATTGCAGTAGCCTTTCTACTGTAAGTATAGGTAGCTGCCAGACTAAACTTTGCCCTTTCATTCTCTTATATACTAAGTTTTCTAGGGAACAGCAAAAAAAAAAAAAAAAAAAAGTCCTTTTCTATCACATGAGTATTCCTGCGTATAAATCCTTACCAATACTGTCATTAATGGTTATAATAGAATCAAGTTCAAGTGCAGTGTAATGGACTTGCCTGGGTAGGTTGTGCAACCATGAAATACAGGTCTGATTACTCTTTCCATACTTCAGTGTTGCTGTTTGCATCTCAGAAACATATTAGATGGAAAAGAAGTCTGCAGTTCTGTCTGATGCTGGAAGACATGCAGAAATAAGTTTGAAATTTTATTTTTAGTTCCCTTCTAGTTAAGGATGTGTTAGGCCCATATTGGGAGTACCCATCAGAGCAATCTCCATTAAGTAGACTGGCTTTCAGAAGACTTGGGGTTTTGGTTTTGGGTGGTTTTTTTTTTTCTATGCTGATGTTGTAGATCCCAGTGCCATCAGACTAATCTTTGTAGCCTTTACACCAGTTTTCATGACTTCAGCTTAAAAATTTTGCTAGATTTCATAAACCAGCAAGGAATTGCAGATTCATCTTCCCTTTGACTGGAAGCCTTTGTGTCTTTACGTGGTATCCCAACCAAATACGCTGCAAAAGCAGTATTTGGGGATGGGAGTAGGACGCAGGGTGAGGGGGAGGATGTGTCTGTTTTGAAGTCTTCTCAGGAAATGAGGGAGATGATCATGATCATGTTTCAGACTTTTTATTAAAAATGTCATGAAACCTTTCCTGCGTATACAGGTATACAGACCAATACGGTTGTGTTGCTCAGTTTCAGGTTTATAAATAAAGCTAGATGATAAAGTCCCAGAGTTTATCTCTCTCTTTTCCCTCTGCGTGTAATGTAGTGGTATCTGCAATAGAGAATTTGTATTTCATCCAGTATCTTTCTGGAAATCCCTTTCTAAATTAGGGCTGTGTTAGTGTAGTCCTTCTTATTGGCTATGCATAGATCTCATTGTTTCCCCCTCTTTAAATTAAAAAAAAAAACTGGCTGGATTTTTTTTCAGGCATTCATATAGTCTTTCTGCTTGAAAAAAATGGTAGCCAGTCCTTCAAATTCCTCCTAAGGTGAGGTTTTCCAGCCTGCACATGTGCACTCTAATAAAATGGCTTTCTGTGGTGCTAACAATTACAGTGTATCCTGTATTAACAGCAGTTCAGAAGTTCACTAGCAAATGTTGGTTTTCTTTCCTTACTGCAGCTGTTGTGGATGAACACAAATGTATAGTGATACAGCAGCACACTAACTGCAATATGATAACAGCATGTATTATATGTGATCTGTCTTAACATGCCGAAACTAAACTATTATATACTTGAATATTCTTTGCTTTTTTGGTGTGTTTTCCTCTCAGAAGATTTCAGACTTTAAGTTCAGTCCATAGGATACTGCTGGTGCTTTGCTCACGGCTTCTTTCAACAGCAGCATTTTGCCTTTTGAGATTCCTGAGGACCTGACAATTCCATGTGAAAACAATTTGTCAGCACTCAAAATGGTTATAGGAGTTTCATTATAGACATACTATGCCTAAATTGGGACCCAGATAAATTTGCTCTTGTTATAAATGCCAGCTGCCCTTCTCCTCTAAGACTTTGATTCCTGTGGAGGAGGTGGCAGAGCAGGTTATAAGCAGATGCTTCTTTTGTGCTGTGGGCTCAGGGCTGCCTTCTTTGTGTGGTTCCCCTTCTCTTCTTCCCTTGCTTCCACCACGTTCCCGCTTTTCTACTTTGAAAGATTAATCCAAGATTGTCCTGGTGTGTCCATACATCAGTTTAGTCTGGCCAGACCTATTGCAAATGGCTGCTCAGCCCCTAGAGAAGGTGTTAGGGTTAGATGCTCCAGTCAGAGTCACTAAACCAACAGTGTGATTGCTGGCCAGTCGGGTAGGTTGAACTGTTCAAGAGCATTAATGAGTAAGAAAACGTGACTATAGAGAAGACATGTATAAGGAGAATATTTGTGCAAAGTTAATTTTACTGTAGTTTCAGAATTTCATCAGATTCGGCTTGTCTGTGGTCCTTCAAAGCTAGGCTTGGCAGCAGAAGAAAAGGAATGGCACGTATGAGAGAAATCCAGGACTTCTGCTTTATTGCACTGACAGAACCAAATTGTTCAATCTGTTGCCTCATCTGTTTCTTGCCATAGCTGGGAGTTGTAAAGGTCAGGCCATTGCAGCACAAAGAATATAATAGTTAACATGCTGCATCTCGCAGTGTTACCAGCTGGCTAGTGCATTTCTCCCATTGAACATCCAGGCTCTTTCCCAAAAAGCATAAGCAGCATCCTCTGCCTATTTTTGGGAATGCGTCAAAGTCAAAAGTTTCTGAAGGTGGTAACGTGGGATGCCCAGTATGGTCAGCACTGCGCTCAACTCTGACATCCTGTGCTGCGCTTCAAGAGGGCTGCAGCAATTTTCAGTTTGAAATAATTCTCATCACCCTGAGAGGTGCAACTTTTTTGGTCCCCATAGATCAGGTCTCTCTTTACCGAGGAAAAATTACCTTACCATCAGTTGTGTGTGTTTTGAGGAGGTGTTATGTGGTGGAAGCCCCTACCAGTGTACCAGTCACCCCAATCCCCACCTCGTAGTGCTGTTGGATAGAGCGTGTGGGTGACGAAGATTTCATCCCACAAAACAAGTTGGAGTTACAGCTGTTCTGCTCGTTATACCCTTGTGTAGGAGAATGAGAAGTATGGGTATGGCTACAAAGCAATAGCTGGTGTATCAAAATTATTGTGAATATATGTGAATAAAGGACGTAAGGAGTGATACAAATAAATATGTACGAAACTGACTGCTATGGAAGACCTTTTCTGTTTAAATCTGATCTTCAGCATGATGTGTAATATAACTGTCTTTCTTGAAAATATCAGATGGGTCCACAAGTGAAGTAAACGTGCTTTGTCATTCTCCTGACCCTTCCTCAATTTTGAAGCAAGTTCTCTGACTATCTAGCTCTTTGATCTCCCTCTCTTTTTCTCCATGTTTTTAATACATGTTAAAGGATGAAGCTTGCATGAAGATTAATGACACGCTCTTGGCAGTATTTGACTAGATAAAAACAGAAGTAAAAGCCAGTTATTACTCCCTTCCAGTATTTAGTTACCAGTTTTGCATTCTAACACCCCTTTACCTTTGCAGAAAGCAGATGGGTGCTTCATGTCATGTTAAAACTATGAAGTTAGCTCCACTTTGAGGTGCTTCAGTCGGTTAATATTTGCTGCGTTTTGCTGTAGGTTCTCAGTAGGCATTGATGAATCAGTTGCACTTGTAATTTAAAAGACAAAATTAAATTCAAAAGGTCAGAAACTTTTATTTCTAAGAATACTGGGATGACAAAAGAATAAAAATCATGTGATACCAGGATAGGTTAGCTAGTCTTTTCTGGTTTCACCAGCATGTTTAACAGAGACTGCATCGGTGCTTTGGGCTCCAAACACCACTTGGCTTTTATTGCCTGAAGCGTGCAGGTCAGCCATCGTGGTTGATCCCACTGCATATGTTGGGTGCGCGCTGTGGGAAGGGGAGATGTGGCCCTGGGCCTTCTGAGAGTGGAAGCGCTTGGTTATTGAGTTATGATAAAGATCTAATGTCTTTTATGTTGCAGCTGATTGACTGGGTGGGAGCACACAGCAAAAAACCAGCGCTGTCCTTGGAGATCAGGGACTGTTGCCTCACACCTATTGGTCTCAATTCCAGTTGCTCACTTGGCAAATCAGAATGACATAAAAGATACTATTTTAGCACAGCGTGTCTTATACTTCAGTGTTTTGTGTTAAGAAGCTGCATTGCAGATGAAAGCTAGGGGAAAAAAATGTTGATTTAAAACTGAATTTGTTAGTTCGGCTTAGGTTTCTAAGACGTACTAACTGCTTTTTTGGCATGTGTAACAAGAGCCAAAAATGCCTTTTGGTAAATTCTGCTAGCTAAAACTTCTTCTTTGGCTAATATTATAACTAAATCTTTATGTTCAGTATTTTAAATTTTCTCTGCTATTGCTATTCAGAGAAAAGCATTGTCATAACTTGTTCTTTATTTCTTCAAGTCTTGATAAGTTATCCAAGTCACTTTTTGACTTAACAGAAGATCTTTGTTTTCTGTTTCAACACTTACTTGGAATGCTTGTGAACTTCAAATGTTTTCTTTATTAAAAAAAGGAGGGGAGAGGGCATATTGGTACAAATGGTGTAGGATATTTTACTACATCCTGGTTTTGACTGTTCATATGTTTCATCCTTCAGAATGCTGTTTAATTGTGATTTACTTTTCATTCCTTAAAGGTGCCATACTCGGCAGATCAGAAACACAAGAGTGTATCTACTACAACGCTAATTGGGAAAAAGATAAAACAAATCGCAGTGGTATTGAACCTTGTTATGGTGATAAAGATAAAAGACGACATTGTTTTGCTACATGGAAGAATATTTCTGGATCAATTGAAATTGTAAAGCAAGGGTGCTGGCTAGATGACATCAATTGTTATGACAGGTAAGCGAGTTTTTCTACAAATCTTAAATGTATTTGTAATCTTAAACTATTTTGCCTGTCCGTAATTTATCCATCCTCCCCTTTGCAAACAGTACTTGAGAAAAAATTATAATACAGTGCCCTATGAATAGTTATCTTGGTTTTAGACACACACACACACGCTTTTGTCTTTTTTGCTTACTTACCTGTATTTAGTGACCCGACTTCATTGAAGTACTTTGTCTTGTTTGCAGAATAGCATGTTTTACCTTCTCTTATTTACTTGCTGTATACTAAAAACCCGGTGTTTAATTTATTCTTTTTTTAGGCCATTAATAAAATATTTTCTAAAGACTTGTTATTGCCAAGCAATGCAAATATAGTTACTGAAACCAGAATGCAAAATTTTATAGTTCACTTTTCCAAGGTCTTTGGAGAATGAAAGGCAGCACTTTGTGTCTGCTCTTTACTTAAACGTGGAAGTATTTTGCTGGTTTATTAAAAAGCTCACTTCAGTGGCAGCTCTAAGTGACATCGAATATTCTAAAATTTCAGTCATTTTTTTTTTATAACAGATGGTCTAGCAAGTACCGGTGAGAGGTAACAGCAGGACTTGGGGGTTGTTAGATATTGGCTGAATAAAGGTCATGACTCTCTTAAGAAATGGTATTCTAGTTCTTTGAAGTAGTGCATTAAGTTTTATTTGACCAAAACAGTTACTGTTTGGAAAGGGAGAGACTTAAGAAAATAAAAGCATAATAGATCTTCATTGAAATATATTTAGAAATTATTTTTAGTAGTATTTTAGAAAAATTTCCTTTTGTGTTTCTTAAATGTTGAATGAGTAGAAGAAATCATTATAGTCATTTCTACAAAATAAAGTTTCCCCACACACTAGGATGTTTTCTACTTTAATGACAGTTTAAAGCTAAGCCGAACGGTAGTTCTGATTTATCTGTTTCTCAGGGAAGTGGCAAAGTATCTGCAAGCTTGCTTGCACAGCATGATTAAAATTCAGCTATGCTGGAAGGCGAAGGACAATTTTAAAGAAATCTTATTTGTTTCTACTAGTATCTAGTAACTGTAAGTCACTTAGGAGGGGAAAGTACTTTTTTTTTTTTTTATCCATTTAGTTGTAGCTTTGCAGAAGAAGTGGGGGTGTTTACACAGTGGGGGTGTTCTGAACTAATTTTATTTCTGCCAAATGTTAAACTTTTAGGATGGAAATAGAATTTTTCAATTTGGAAATGGAGTTAGGTTCTATAGCATTGTTATCCCTCTAGTTCCACATGTATCTTTGAACAGTCTAAAAAAAAATTGATACTGAATTCTCCCTTGAGCAAAGAAAAGAAATTAAAAGAAGAAATAAAATGTGGGAAGGATGGTAAGGAAATAGTTGAAAACTGTGTAAAAATTTGTCTGGCTCTGAGACCTCATTAACTGTAACTTGTCATAAGAATGCATGCTGCTGTGTTTGTCTAAAATAGCCATTAAACAAAACCTTATCTCTGGGAGTGAAGAGTGGTTTACCAAACAGGGAGTTACAGTATGGTGAACTCCAAACAACAGCAGATTAAGAACATCAAGGAATACATGTTTTATGGAAGTTACAGTACAGTGTAGTTGTAATAGCTGGTTCTATAAAATAACCCTCATTTTTGCAGATGAACCCAAAACTCTTTTGACAATCTTCAGCTGTATTTAAAATCCTCAACTATTTCGGCAGGATTTTCAAATTCTTCTTTTTCTTCTGTCAAGTTGTCTCCTGCATGATGCCTGTTTTTCTTTCCCGACTTGAAGAGTTTCAGCTTATTTGTTAATAGAACTCCTTTCCTGCAGTTATTTCACTGAGTGAAATAAGCCTTGTCCCTGAGCATAATGTAGGCAGGGGAAATTGGAGAACTTTTATCTTTTTTTCTAAAAATAAAATAAAATTCAAAAATTCTCCTTCCCCTGTACTGTGAGTTTATGGTTAAATGCTAGCCATTTGATCATTTGTTTGTCCTGTTTAAATCAAGATTGTGAACTGTTCTTCAGTATTCTATTGGTGATTTTCTTGAACTTTGTCTGAAAAATAGCAAAAATGTGCTGTTTCAGTTTTAATGATATTTCATTGCAATATAAAATAACAAAATTTTGATTTGTTTCTTCAGATTTAACTCTTATTTGGGTAGTATGTTATCCTGAATGATTTCATGAAGTTCACTTGAAATTTTAAATGTGAGCATATGTTTTCTCTTGAACAGAAAAGCCCCTCAACTTAAGTTTAATAAGGTTTTTTTATTATTATCTTTTACAGGAATGATTGCATAGAGAAGAAAGACAGCCCTGAAGTGTTTTTCTGTTGTTGTGAAGGCAACATGTGTAATGAACGCTTTTTCTATTTTCCAGAAATGGAGGTCACGCAACGTAAGTTAGACTAACGCATTTATGGAGGAACTGCTTAGCAGAATTCAGAAAGATTTCATATTGTGCATGTTCAGCAGATAAGACTTTTCGAAATGTTGTGGTCAGTTTTTCCTGCCAGAAGGTTTCTGATTCCTGGATGATAGTGCTGTGTGCATTCACATAAAGAGCCTAGAAAATTGCCAGTTCATTTCTTCAATTTTGAAAGGTCTCTATACCAGAAGTAATTTAAGTTGATAAAAGGTACTTCAGCTCTTTTCTAAGGGTGAGAAGGAAGGATAATATAAAATAATTGGCTGTTTTAAGATACAGAAGTTACTGTCAAATCTTACCTTAATTGTATAGTTAAGCTTCTGTAAGTGTCTATAAATCATTGGGCTAAAAGCCATATCATCCTTATATGCGTGTACCAGCCTATGAATGCTCCTCTTCTTGAAACAATGCTCTCACTATTTCTTTAAACTAATTGGACCTTTGAGTTTTTCTGTAAATTGACATAGTAACCTTTAAAAAGGGGGGAAGAATTTCCTTCCAGGTTACAAAGAAAATCAGATAGCCAGACTTAACAAATAATTGTTTTAAAAATCAATAAAAGATTATTTGATTATTCTTGCATATCTTCTTTGAGTCAAGAATCTAATCTTTGTTGGAAAACTGAACGATGTTAATAACTGAACTGAAAACAGCAAATGTCTTGTGTACCAAATAGCCAGAGGAAGTTGTTTATGAAATTAAATAACATTTTCTGAGATGAAAATAGCCTTTGCTGACCCAAGGGATATTCTTGTCATTTTTGTCATGATACTGCTAAGGCAATAATTGACGTTCTTTTTCACTCTCATGAAACCTCTTTTGCCCCAGGGGTCTGTGACTGCCCCTGTACCAGTTGCCTCAGAAGCAGTGCTTCTCTGGAGCCTTTCTGGAGGTCCTATGGAGGGGCTCTTCAGCTAGAAAGCTTTTACTTTCAGCACATCAACAGTGCATAGAAATGTTGGCAGATAATTTCTGGCCTATTCTACTTATTAATGACATGTTACTGTGTACATTCCAAAGGCTAAACCTCTGTATTGATTCTTTTTTCATTCATTAGGTGATGGCATTCTTACAGTCTTTTTAAAATACAGACACCTCGTACATGCTGCAGATAGGTGGAGCTTAGAAGCACAAGGAAGTTAGATGTGCTGATGTGTAAATCTGGGGATCTAAGTTATTTCTGCGCTTTCCAACATGCTTCTTTTTAAATATGTGTCTGTTTATATTAAAGTACACTATTTAATCAAGTATTGTTAGCCTGTTATGCTGATTGCAAGAATTTTTGGAAAATTGGGATGCTAGACATTTCAAGCACTGGATGATTTTTGTTTCTTAAAACCTGTGGGTTTGTTTTGTTGTTTTTTTTTTCCAGCAACTTCCAACCCTGTTACACCTAAGCCACCTCTGTTCAATACCTTGCTTTATTCATTGGTGCCTATAATGGGAATTGCAGTTATTGTGCTCTTTTCATTTTGGATGTACAGACATCACAAGCTAGCGTATCCTCCAGTACTTGTTCCAACCCAAGTAAGTTGCTGCATTATGATTTTGGTTTTTTGTGAATGGTATAACCATTTTCTGAAGCGGAGAGGAGAGAAAAGGGTCTGCACATGGCTGAAGTCTTCTGTTACCTTCCTGGTTTAGAGGTGCTAATGCTTGCTAGCTGCAAAAGCAGAAAATTAAGCTTTACTTAAATAGCCTTGTCTCCTTTAATTGATTGGCCTTTGGATGTATGAGCAACTACTTAGTGTTTTTACACATCTGTTTGTTCGGGAGGAGAAAAACAAAATACACAACTTCAGATGGCAAAGATGCAGTACTGCTGGACAGCTGTGGGAAGTTTGTACTGTACTCCCAGGTAGTTAAAAGGACTACTTGTCTGAAAGTTGTGTACAGCTGCGCTCAGGTACTTACCGTTGAGCTTTATGTAACGTTTACCTTAAAACAAAAATGAAGGAGACATGCTAATTCATAATGGCAATTTTCAGTGAATAGAAAATAGTAACTAGTAGACGCTTAGCTATTTTTTAAAAAGTATGGAACTGGCATACAGGTATCAGTTAAAGGGAACATAAAGAAAATAAATCTTCAGTTGAGGCGTAGTTCCAGGGCTTAGTTCAGCTTGTGGCCTTATCTTTTTCCTCTTCCTTGTTTATGTATTTTTGTGTTTTGTCTTCAAATGTTTCAGTTTTAGCTATGTTTGCATTTTTCTTAGAAAATATTATGAGACTGTGGTCTCCAGACTGGAAATGTAAACTGGCTGTGTTGCATCAAAACAAACCTTTTTTGGCTGCATGTACATAGTTCCTGCTCTTGTCAGGCTCCAGCTGATTCTGTAGGTGTAATTAATATTAATACTAGAATTCCTTTTCCTTCAGTTATGTCTGGAGATTTAATTGAGATTAGAAGGCCTTTATGAAAAGAGTTAAGATGTCAAATTCTTCAGACTGAAGTAGGAAGGATGAACAAAATGTGGTAGTAGAAATGGAGAGAGAAACGACTTGCCCAGGGTCCTGCTACTCTTGGGCTTTTACAGTAGGAATTGAACTTAAGCTTCCTAGCTCAGTGCAGTGACCACTCAGAATACGTTGCCTCTCATACAATGATGATACAATGATGCTATGATTAAATAAAATGTAAAACACTTGTTATTTTTGGTAAGACTGCATTTTAAAAAGATTTACATGTATTTGCTCTGTACTGTCGGCTTCTGTGATATTTTCAGTGCTACTGCTTGACTTCAGCGTGTTCCAGGAAACAGTATTGCCTGTGGTTGATAAATAAAATTGTTTTGGTTTCCATTCCGTAGTAATAGATAAGAAAAGTTTGGGGGGAGGCAGTGGGCATATGTTCTTGCCAAATGAAAAGAACATAATTTAGAGGAAAAAAGTATGTTTCTTGTCCTTGCAGAAAGTATTACAGATCCTCAAACTTCATGCAATCTGTTAGCATAATTATTTCATCCATCTCAATTTTTATGTATTTGGGACTTTACATCAACCTAGTAGTCTTCACTGTAAGATCAAATCATGACTGCTACTTGCGTGAATAATTTCAGCATGTGACTTCCTTTCTAGACTTAAAGAAATTAAGTAATGGATAAAGTGATAGAAAAGCAAGCAAATGTTAAATACGTGTGAGATATCAAGAATTTGAATTTTTATATTCTTCCTCCTTTTTATTGTGGTTCTTTTCTTGCATGGATTGTTTGGTACAGGAGTGGACATGTCATAAATTTTTTAATAAATAGGGTAATAACCTGTTTTGTTAATGCTCAGATTGTATCTGTTGGGATAAGTATATGTTGGTGCTTGAGCTAGTTATGGTGTAATAGCATTTTCTTATCTTGTGGTGAATAGGCATTAAGGTTTGATGTGGAAAGTCAGGAAAAGCTACTTCTGCCTGAAAAACTAAATGAAATTACTATGGAAATAGAATGTATAAATATTCTCCCATAGGCAGCAGAGCAGTGTTTCCCACTTTTAAATTTGATTAGAGCTGATTTGAACAGGAGGCGGAGGAAGCAGGAAGAGAGGGAAAAGTATTAGTAATTTTATAACCATGAAACAAACATTTAAATATTTATGCAATTAATATATTAAATATTAATATTTTATTTAATAATTAGGGCATGAGTAGAGTTTGTAGGCAAATGGATTCTTTTCTAAGTATTTCTGTAGCAAATGGTAGAATGGATAGATCAGATGTATACCAGATACTCACTAGAAAACGGGGATTTCTCAGTATGAGAGACAAATAAAGGTTATCTCATTTTATTTCTGGAAGGTGATGGGAGTACTTATGTGCAGAATGCCCTGGTACTAATCTTTCTTCCAGTAAAAATGAAAGGATAGATGAGGAATAAGCAGAAGATAAAAATGAGGAAACACTGAAGAATGAGAAATTTTGGAAGAATTAGGAGAAGAAGGGATAAGTTAAAAAAATAAACAAATCAGAGAGCAAAAGGGAAAGAAATTGTTTGGAATATTTCAAAAAAAGCAAGATACGTGCTAGAAGAAATTTTTGAACCTGTGGTGAAATATAAAGGACAAGCATCTGAGAAAATGCAAACAACTTCATTTCCTTTTGAAAGTAAAATTGCTTCACGGTACATGCAGGCATTGGGCAGGCAGTTCCTACCCAAACTGAGCTCAGTTCAGAGCTATGTGGATTAACTTCACTTTAAATTCCCTTTGAATGTACAGATAATTATTTTAAAATTTCATGCAGCAGAATTAGTCTATATGTTTGGCTTAAGATTGGAAAGCAGTAGATAATTTTATTTGCTCCTTACGTGTTTCATTCTTGCGTTCTTTCAGGTATTTGGGTAGAGAGATCAAGGGGGTTACTAGAATAGGTAACTGCTGAGATGCTCCTTGCCGCTTCCCCGAGTCAGAAGTGCCCGGCGGGTCCTGAGGCGCGTGTCCGGGACAGCCGTGGCAGAGCGAGCTGCTGCTCTCATTAGTCTTGGCTTACAGACTTCTTTGTCTCTTGTTTGTGCTGTTAACTGTATGCCTCGCTTTATTGTGTGGGGTGCTATCTAGTTAAAGCTGTCAAATTTTATAAAATCTGTCACTATTTAAATTCTTAAATGAGTTGTTAACGAGTGTGAGTTTGCTAAATACGTATGTGTATATGTAAAACGGTTTGAAAGAACGATTTCATTTTCTTATTTATATTTTATATAATCATGCAGCAAACACATATTCATACGTCTGACCAAATTTACCAAAAACTCGATTAGTATTTTAGATATTTGAATCTGTGTATTTTGATATAGAGTTACTCTCACCCATTTAATTTTCACTCATGATCACCAGGTACAGTGAAAACAAAACGCTGCAACCTTTGCAGGCAAAGGCTTTCACTCTCAAATTAGGTGTAGTTCAGATTTCCCCACAGCGTCCTACAAATATTCCTGGTAGAAATGTGAAAGCGGATGGCAAGGAGTTGCTATGCTCTTTTTTTTTTTTTTAACATCTCTTGAGCTTGGGCCAGAGTTGTCAGTCAATGCTAATTACAACTGTGGTGTTACCACTCTGTCATCTGATAGATAGGACCATAACCTATTTTATAGCATAACTGACACAAGTAACACTTTTGTTTATCAGTTCACACATCTGTGGCTCCCAACATTTTATATCCATACTGTGCAAAGAGAGATTAACCTCTTGTACTTTTTGTTGAGTGCCCAAGTTATGAATATCTTACTGGATCACAGAGTTGCTTTTTTTGTTTTGTGTTGTTTTTAAAATGAGAGTCATATGTTGAGAGGGTTGGAAAAAAGCTTTACAGAGTCACTTAATGTCTTCATAACCTATTTTTGTGCTTTCTTCTGAAATGTTTGACATTACTTGGGTCAAAGTGTTTTTAATCACTAAGCATAACAAAGCCCTGATCTAGACCTGTGTGGTGTGACCAGAAATTTAAAAACTCAGAATGGACAGATCCTGTCTATTATAGTGTCCATAAAAGCAAGCTTAGTTGCTAGGAATTACCATTTCTTTCCCTCCTCGGAGAGGAAGATTACATGGTTGAAAAATGCAACTACGTCTTCTGCTTTTAACCTCCAATATATCACTTCATTTAAGCTTTTCACCCAGTATTTCCTATATTGAGCACAATAATCTTTTATGTGCTTCATTGGGGGGAGGAGGTTTGGCCCATAAGGATGAACCTCACTGGTCCTATACATATGGAGAACGTCCCTAGTCTTCAAAGTCACGTTCTATGTGAACCAAGAATTAAGAATAATTGAAACATATATATCAAATATAAAGAGATATTGATCTTACAGCTCTGGTCTCAAAAGTTTTTTTGATCATAAAAAAAAAAATACTCTGTGATTTTGGTGGATGGCAATTTAGGTATGGCTGCCTTCACTACCATACCATGGTAGTCTTTCTTCAGTGTATCTTTTCCTGAAGACACCCAAGTATGAATAGAACTTTGTAGCTATGTCATGGTTTTGATATTTCAGTTTCAGCTGTAAGAAATTAGAATTGAAACCAGTATCACATAATGTGAGGTGAATAATGATGGAGAAGAATTCCTAGCAGTGGCAGATGCAAGACACATTCTCAAATACTGACTGCAGGTCCAACTGCATGTGTAGCAGTGGAAAAACAAATTCTGTGTTGCAAACTAGTAGGAAAAGAACATGTAACAAAACAAGCGCTGCTCTTTGCTGCAATTTTTAACCTCAGACATCTGGTCTAGGCCACTAGACCTGTGCCAAGGAGTTTGGTGAGTGTGTGTGTGTGTAACTTGAATGGTTTGTTTTCAAAAAAACATAAAAGTAATTAGTAACGGGGAAACTTTATTGTTGGCATTCAAAAAGATTTTCATTTATTGTTTTTATTCTCTAAATTACCTTTTAACATATCAAATAATCTACCTGGTGCACTTAAAATTTCTGAGATAACCTATATCCCTCTGCCACACTAGGAAAATCACAGTTTGCTGCTGAAGAAGAATGAAGAAATTAAATCAAGTGTTCAGATTTTTTCCAGCTTTTATGTTCCAGC